CATTTCATCAATATGGTTTAATAATCCATAAAGAAAAGCAAGGAATTAATTGCCATAAAAATTAGAATAGTCCTTACCTGTAGGGGAGAGGGAAAGGGTTATGGTTGGAAAAGACAATTTTGCAATGTTATATTTCTTTACTTGAGTATGCACTTTTTAAGTTATTTAAATTTTATGCAATTTTCTGCATCAGTATTTCATCTCACAATTAAAGGTATATTTTTTAAAATTTATGTTCATTTAGGTAATGTGAGACAGATATGAAAACTAAGAAAGCTAAGCTCAGGCTAGTTCTGAGGCAGCTGTCATCAGAACATGGCAGAGATTCTAACTGAATCTATTTAAAGAAACATAAAATGAATTGCAAAATACTGAAATTCATATAAAAATGGGGGGAAAAAACCCCTACACAATAGCCCCATGTGTTCAAGAAAGCCAGTACTCATAAAATCTTCATTGAAGTTCCCCAATATTAACCACAAAAGAATCTTTCATCAATAGGTTAAAAGTTTGTATGAAATATTGAGCTCAAGTAAAACCACAAGAAAATTTAAATGTTTATACTAATAAGCTCCATAAGAGAAGGGACTTTTCTGTTTTATTCATAACTATATGCCTACTGTGTACGGTTAGGGTGACAAACTGTCTTAGTTTGCCCAGGACACAGGACTTGTAGTGCTGAAGTCAGGACATTCCCAGATAAACCAGGATGGTTGGTCTCCCTGTCATACTGTCATGCATATTAAACAATAAATATAGAATTAATAGGTGATATTCTAAACTACACCTTTAGTCATTCATTCAGCAATACTGAATGCTTTATTACATGTCAGAAAGAGGCAGTTAGGGTACAATAATGAATAAGCTAAAACCCTTGCCTCAAATAGGGGGGAAGCCAAACAAGTAAACAAACAATTACATTACTAACAGTGCTGCTAATAATTAACATACAAAATATAGGAGAAGACGATTCTGGCACATTAGGGTTGGTGGAGTGAAAAATTTAAAGTTTGATTTGGGACATATGACTATACTGACATGTTAAGTTCCAACAATAAATGATAAATCAAACTGTCAGGTAGAAAGAAGAAATGAATATAGGAGAAGATAAGATTCGAGAAGAACGAAGTAAGTTCAATTTGAGATATATTAAGTTTGTGGCACCAACAGCAGAAATCAGACTGGCATGAAGCAATAAAAGTCAGTCTATTTTTTGAGAAAGAAGGCGGGAGGCGTGGGATAAAGGACAAGTTCTGCAGCCACAACAACTGTACAAAGCAAGCAGGGCATTCTTCACATAAAAGCAATAGCTAGATCTTTGAAACATACTCATCTTCAGGGACATCAACATTTTATAGCAATCACATACATATTTTATTTAAACTTAAATATAGAATTCCCTGAAATGGTCTCCCTAAATTCTGAATGGCTAATAAGATAAAACCATTATTGCCGGCATAAGCACATAGGCAGGAGTACAAGACCATGGACAGCTCATGCTTCTGTGGCAGATAAAACTAACTGCTTTCCCATCAAAGAAGAAATTTAGCAAAGAATATATTAAGAACCACTGTCACCCAGCCTAGATAACTAACATAGAACCAGGACAGATAACTAATATATGCTAACATGGGGTACCATTTGTTATGTAAATCAAGCTCAAAAAGCAATGAAATATTCCTTAGCACAATAATGCCAGGAGCAGTCACATTATTAAAAGGACTATGTTTTTATCATATCTTACTAGGCTGGTCATTTGTGGGAAAGCTTTGCTTTAATGAGATAAGATTTGCTTGCTTCTCAGATAATTTGCAAGAAAATCAGGAGCAGCTGTCACTAATCTGGAATCAGAATATCCATTATCTCTCCCACTCATGAAATCAGAGCAGCTGAGTTCTATTCCTTTCCCGCTGCAAATCCTGGGTAGAAATCCCTGATCAACTGGACAAAAGTCAAGGCAATGAAGTTTGAAAATTAATGTGGAAAGAATTTTCTGAGGAAAATATGAAGACAACACACTGGAGGACTGACCAAGCAGCCTACAGTAAGAGGAAAATGATAATTAGAAGAGAAAGGTTGAGAATAAAGAGTATCTGCACCTTTCTTTTGAAGTTCTAAGACTAAGATCTTCTCCTCTTGTGTAATTCAAGGTAACAAGTAAATTACATAAAGTCCCAACATCGCTTTTCCTACATCATACTCTACAAAATTTCCCTGACCCTTAAATAAGTGTGTATACTTCTGTATAGTCCAGTGTTACTGACCTCAAAGAGGTGTAAAGCAGAATGTACCTAGGAAAGAGGTAACAGCTACTTTTAAATTATCTTGCCAGGGAATCCTGTAGAGAAATGACTAAAGAAGCACCTATAACCTCTATTGATTATCATTATTACCATGTCAGTGCTGAGTATTACTAAAACAGGGTTCTATAGGATGCAGCTGCTCAAAGTTCCCAAATATGGAATTTCCTAGTTTCCTTCATAGGTCAACAAGGCACAATTCTATAAAACAGTAAAAGAAGGGCCTTGCAAACCCCAGTTACTGATCTCTAAGCAAAGTTCACACAAGTCAAATTATGAGTTTTTAATTCTGCTATATGTAACTCATTAGATTTTTTTAAACTTTCTTTCAAGAATTATTGTTTATTCCTTTTACATACGTGTTAAGGTACTGCGCTAAAAACTGAGACTAACACGGTCGAGATCTTGGTTATTGCCCTCAATCTCACATTTTAATGTGGCAGCCAGATAAGTTAACAGATAATTACAATATAGTATCAAGGTGCTTTGAGTCATTAGGAGTCAAAGAAGAAAGACCTGAGACAGAGTGGAGTCAAAGAACAACTTCACTTTACCCAAGGCTCAAAGAATAAGTAGGAATTAGCCAAGTAAGGAAAGAAAAGAGAGATTACTCAGCAAAGGTAGCAGCAGGTACAAAGGCACGGAGGTGAATGAACATGAATTTATAGACAATGCAAAGTTGGAATTGCTGATACGTAGGTTAAGTGCTGGTGGAGGTGTGGTGCCTGGAAAGATCAGGTTAAGTGAGAGACCAGGTTAGGGATCATGAAGAATCGCATGCAGCATGTTAAGGAGTTCAGATTTTAACCTTAGTGTTAAAAGGAATTTTTTAAACAAATAACATAATTATATCTTAGGAAGATTACATTAGCCATAAGACAGAAGTTGTTAGAAGCTGAAACAGAGAAACCAGTAATATTTTATTGGTTAATTTCAGAATAAAAATAAGAAATCCCAAACTAAGTCAAGGGCAGTTAAATGAAGAAAGGGAACCAGTTTGAGAGAGAATGAGAAGAGAAAATCAATAAGTTCTAATGATCAATGGGAGTGACCAGTCAGAGGGAAAAAAAGGAGTCTAAAATAATTCCAAAGCTAAAAGTTTATAAGCAACTGACAGGGCATTTTTTTTCAAAGGGGTCTGTGATGGTAGGGAAAATGATAAGTTCAGACACCTGGAATTTCAGATGCCAGAGACCACCCAGGCAGAGATGTCCAAAAGAAGTAATTGGCAATGCAAAGGCCTGATGATCAGGAGAAAGCTCATCTTAGAGATATGAATCACCTGTATCTCTAAAGGCTGTTAAGGAGTCATCAGAATCAGAATATAGATAGCAGTTGAAGCTATGGATTTGAATGAAAAAGTAAACATGAGAAAAGCAACAAGCAAAGGATGGGAAGTACAGTAGATAAACATTTAAAAGGTATTTAGAAAAATAAAAACCTTTAAAGAAGACTATGGAGGGCTGGTTGAAGAGCGGAAAAATGATACCAGATTCAGCATTTAACAAATGTTTACTAGGTCCCAACCATGTATCAGGCACTGTTCCAAGACAATAGTTGGAAAAAGAACCAGGAAAAAATGATGTTACAGACACCAAGAGAAGAAATATCTCTAAAAAGACAATGGTCAGTTGTGTCAAAATAAAATAATGATTGAAAAGTATCATAAGTGTTAGCATTTTCGGTGGTCGTTGGTGGCTAATAAATTGGTAGGGAGTTAATGCTTATAAGGACTCAGCTGCATTAAATAAAGACACATAATAAGCTCCAAGAACACTGATATCAATAGCAGAAGCTGAAAAGCAGTAAAATTCAAGATTAAAACAATGACAAATGACAAATTTGTACTCCAAAGAAACTTAAATCAACCTAATACCCTAATCTCCTCAAACATGTTAACAGAATAGTGGATCTTGGCATTTGTTTAAAAATACAGGAACAGTGTGACCATAGGGAAAATGCAGGCTAACAAGGGAAAAAGTGTAATTTGGATGGTATTAAGCCCCACAAAAATCATCAGATTAGAAAAAGCAGAAAGCAAATTAGAAGTATTTATTAAAAGTCACCCCCAGCCACTAAAATTGCTAACAAATGAGAGCAAATACTTACTTAAATTATCCATTCCCACCCCACCTCTCAAAGAGTACAGCTTTTCTTTACACAATGTGGGATAAACAGGCTCTCGTTAAGTATATTGAAAAAGATGGGTATGGTAAGATAGGAAGCATCTACCTGAAAAACTACATGAGACTATCTTTAAAAGGTATTCCAAAACAGAAATATAAAAGTTATATCTCAGTAAATTAACGTTTCTCTGGTTAGTTAGGAAAGGTGTGTGAGGCAGGCAGGATTACAAAGAAAAGAGACAGAAAGCGGTAAGAAGTACACAGGAGAGTTGGAGACTCACATAGTCAACGGGGCCAGGAAATAAAAATCCTAGATCTAATCTGTACCATTTAAAGTATGATGTGGACAGCCACTGTAAAATCAAGTCTTCGCCACACGCTTACTGGCCTTGTGAAATGCGACAAATTATTTTACCAGTTATCCTCTGTAAAATAAGGATAGTATTTTCCCTGCCTACTTCATGTGTTATACTTATGAAGTGGTACTACAGTGTTTTAACTCACGCGCACAGAAGCGGAGCAGGCTGAAAGTGAGGCGCCTGTTACAGAAGGCTTGCCTTTCTCTACACCTTACCTGTTGCCTGCTGCTTCAGGAAAGGTACCTGGTAGGATCCAGGACCCACATGATCCTCAGTGCTGCCAGCTTCAGCCAATCTAAGCACACGGGGAGCCCGAGCATACATAATGGAGTGGGGGGAAGGGTGGGCGGCTGCAAAGGGATTAAAAACAGGGAGGCTAGAAGAGATGTGGAGCAAAGAGAAGCCGTCAACAACTTCAGGAGGCGTGGGAAAAACTTCTGTAAATGGAGGTGCTAGCGCAGGGGCTATCGCCCCACCTGCTCATTGGTGTCAGAATACTCCCAGGTCGATTTCTAGCCGCGTAGAAAACTGAAAAGGAGCATGAGCACAGAGAGGTCTTCCCGCAGGTTCATCCCTTCACCAACCGAGAGCGGAAGCGCTCCTCCAAGGAAGGAGATTAAATAGTAGGCGCCCACCCCTCTGCTTCCGGAGCTGGCTCCGCCCGTTTCTTTCCACCCGGAAGTCTCTGTGAGAGAGGTTCAAGCGCTTTTCCCTGGCCGAGCCCTGGGAGCATGCGCACCGAGCTGCACGCCTTCCCCACTCGCTCCGCCCCGCGCTCTTGGCGTCCTCCAGCAGAGGGCGGGGCCGAGGCCAGCTGCTCCTTTTATCGCGTTGCATCGCGATTCAGAAAAGCTCTAGAAAACGCTTTGGAAGGCGTTAGGGGTAATTTGACCGTGGTCCATTTCCCCTTTAAGTCAGGGCAGCTGGGAAGAGACTAGCAGCTACTGTGAAAGAAAAGCCTTAGTGCAAAGGGAAATGCTTCCGCAGCCTCATCCCCAACTCCTACCACGACTATACTCGCACCCCAGGGGGAAAGCACTCTGACTTTATCCCATAGATAGTCCAAAGGGTGCTAAGAGAAACCCAGAAGGTGGTGGTGACAAGAAACAGAGAACCGGGGGAAGGAGACGAAAAACTCACCAACCGAAGCAATGCAAATTCAGGTAACTGAAAGCTGCTCCTGTTGTCAGATACCAGGCAACGGCAGCATTGATTTATTACATTGTGTATAAGTAGAGCAAAGACCTTGAAAAAGCCCAGTCCACCCCACTAAACCAAGGAGTCTCTTAACCTTAGGCGAAAGAAACCAGGCTTCTTCAAAGGCCTTAAGGAGTCTATGTCAGAATCCACCTAAAAGTTGTCTCAGGATTTTTTTGTTTTTTCCCAGCAAGGATTCCATCCAGATTCTAACCATTCTAAAGGCTTAAACAAATCCTAACCTATCTTGACCATGCCTTACCCCCAATGAGCTACAGTACTTTAATGTGTTCCTACTACAAATTTGTACTTATTTATACTCTGGAGGATACGATTCAGTACTCAATTCTGTGGGTCATTTATTGTGGCTTAATTGTTCCATATATGTTAGAATGCTCTCCATACAAGCCTTATCTGCCTCTCAAGAATGTATCTGTCGTACGTTTTTTCCTACCCAGTAGCTTCCTGAATAATCATTTAGTCACTTAAAAAACGCTTACTGGCATATGCCGTAGGTTCAGTATCCTGCTAAGTTATGGGGATACAAAGATATAAGAAAGTCTTCATCCTCAAGGGTTCTATATCTAATGGAAAAAGAGACGTGTGTAATTCATAACAAGAGATGACAAGAGAGATGAATAAAATGATAAGAAAAATATTACAGTACTTTGGATACCTCCTCTTCCTACTAAGAAACTAGATACTCAACTATATGGGGACCCCAAAAAGCAAATTCAGATGCCAGCCATTTTGCTGTAGGCACTGGTGAAGGCTCTCACATCCTCCTTCTGGCTTTTCACATCTGCAACAGTCTAGATTACTCTTTCCTGGGGTAGAGTTGGCTTTGAGACTGGAAATGGAAGTGGTAAAGCAGGCTTTATATGCTTTCTGTCTGATCTGATTTTTGTCCACTGGACCTAACCTAACTTAGACAAAAGGAGCTCTTCATAGGTGTATCCTAGTTTATTTACAGATCTCTAAAGGGGAGTTTGTAGCCTTAAGACCTAGGTACCACCTAGAAATGTAGAATTTCTTTATGTTGCCTGACTCCTCAGTCCATGTTCTTTCCTCAGCGACCTCACAGAGAGGGGTAGCTGATCAATGGCAGGACTCTAGCGTTTCTGGGCCTTGTGGCCAGATCCCATCTAAATATCACACCACTGAGGTACAGCCTCTACATTCTTTGATTTTGTAACACTTCGTCTCTAAGGATTCTGTGTTCCTTGCAAAAGGCTTTTCTTTGAAAAGTTTTTAGTGTGAAAATCCTTCCTCTATTTCCTTGAATTACTGTGGCTGTTCTTCTGTTTACCCTTCCCAGGTATTATTTCCCTCTTATGGTTCAGTAACCAGAATGGTACACAGTATTTAAGAATTGGAAAATATTTTTAAATGAGAACAGCAACCTTTTTAATTATCTCTCAGTGTGGTAAATATTTCTTAAATAGTTTAGAATGAGTGTACTGCTAAAAAAAATTAAAATGTTAACACAGTATTATAATTATTTATGAATACAAAATAAAGAATTTGGTTCAGCATTTCTCAGTTCCTGCAAAATAGTTTTAATGCTAATCAACCACACTATACAACCATTTCCATAGTATTAGTAAGAGATGGAAACTGTGTTTGAACTCAGGTTTATTTGACTGCAAAATTTGGGTTCTTTCCGTTTCTGTTTGCTGGCTCCCACAAGAATAAACTTTAAAAATAAAGCTTGAGGGGTGCGAATTTGCTTTAAGTAGAGTTAAATACCTTATAAATATTATAAAACTGAATTGTTTTTGAAACTAATTTCTACAACCCATTATGACTTACTGGTTTTCCATTGTTTTGCTTTTTGTAAAAAAAAAAAAATCAAGCAATGGTAATAAATCATTTGACATTTATCAAAATCAAATGAATATACTTTGTCAGTGTTATTAGAGGTCACGTTGTAAAGTGATATGCACTCAAGTTAAAATGGTAAAATTTTTCATTTATATGATTTGAAGCTTACAAAATATATTTTATGTTCATTACTTTGTTTAATATAAATTTATGTTTCTTTAAACTGCAGATTTGATATTCTGAAATCATGAAATGTGTTTTTGTAATTTATTTTTTATTGAAGTATACTTGATTTACAATGTTGTGTTAATTTCTGCTCTACAGCAAAGTGACTCAGTTACACATATATACATTCTTTTTTATATTTTTTCCATTATGGTTCATCTCAGGATATACGATAGGACCTTGTTGTTTATCCATTCTGTATGTAATAGTTTGCATCTACTAGCCCCAAACTCCCAGTCCATCCCTCCCCTTCTCTTGGCAACCACAGGTCTGTTCTCTATATCTGTGAGTCTGCTCCTGTTTCGTAGATAGGTTCCTTTGTGCCGTATTTTAGATTCCACATATAAGTGACATCATATGTCTTTCTCTTTCTGACTTACTTCACTTAGTATGGTAAGCTCTAGTTGCATTCATGTTGCTGCAAATGGCATAATTTTGTTATTTTTTATGGCTGAGTAGTAGTCCATTGTATATATGTACCACATCTTCTTTATCCATTCATCTCAATGGACATTTAGGTTGTTTCCATGTCTTGGCTACTGTGAATAGTGCTGCTGTGAACACTGGGGTGCATGTATCTTTTTGAATTATAGTTTTGTCCATATATATGCCCAGGAGTGAGATTGCTGGATCATATGATACTTCTATTTTTAGTTTTCTGAGGAACCTCCATACTGTTTTCCATAGTGGCTGCACCAACTTACATTTCCACCAACAGTGTAGGAAGGTTCCCTTTTCTCCATACCTTCTCCAGCATTTGTTATTTGTAGACATTTTAATGATAGCCATTCTGACTGGTGTGAGGTGGTACCTCATTGTAGTTTTGATTTTCATTTCATGAAATGTATTTTTAAAATTATACCATATTACCCAATGACCACCTGAGGTTTTATCACTGACATTCGTTGAGCACCTACTATGTGCTAGCACTGTGTGAAGCACTTTACATCAATAATCTAAATCATTTCTCACATAACCCGTGAGGTAGGCTCTATTAATATGTCTGCTCTATTAATATGTCTACTCTATTAATATGATGAGGCTTAGAGCCGTTAAATTTCTTATTCAATGTCACATAGTTAATGAATGATGGAGCTAAATTTAATGCTAGTCAGTTTGACTCTAGAACCTGTTTTCATAGCCATTATTTGGAAAATGCCCCCAACTGGGCTCTACTCCCACACCAAATAATCAATAGTTTTTTTTATCAATTCTTATTTGAGTGTGGCTGCATGTTTATTTATTTCTAAAAAAGAAAATCTAGAAGTAATCTTTCAGAGGTGACGTGGTGGCTCCTTGATGGCAGGAAACTAGGATGCTGTATTGTGCTGCTCCATATCTTGATGTGCAGTTCCCATTATTTTTTTTTTTTTTTTTTTTTTTTGCGGTACGCGGGTCTCTCACTGTTGTGGCCTCTCCCATTGCGGAGCACAGGCTCCAGACGCGCAGGCTCAGTCGCCATGGCTCACAGGCCCAGCCGCTCTGTGGCACGTGGGATCTTCCCGGACCGGGGCACGAACCCATGTCCCCTGCATCTGCAGGCGGACTCTCAACCACTGCGCCACCAGGGAAGCCCCCAGTTCCCATTCTTGAGATCTCTTCATGATCCAAAAATTATCTGCTGGAGCTCCAGCCATTATTAGGAGCAGGAAGGGAAAATAGAAGTATGCCCCCCCTCCTTTTCAAGGAGACTTCCTGGATGTAACACAGGAAATGTATGATTGCATTTCATTGGCCCAAACTATGTAAATAGGCACTTCTAGCTATAAAGGAGACTAGGCAATATAGCCCCTTTCTAGGTACCAGTTTCTGTTACTGAAGAGAAGGGAATCATTGTAAAGAAGAACACCTCTCAGTTTCATCCACAATCATCCTGTTGAAAAACTTTCCCCTCCTTTGGTGTCCAAGGTACCCTACCCTCCAGATTCTCATTATACTTTCTTTTGACAGCACCTACTGTCTTCTCTATTTTTGTCTCACATTTTTCTTTTTTCTCCCATCCTCTTCTCTCTTTCTCCCTTGGTAATTTTATTCATTCTCATAAATCCTATATCCTCTTTGAGCTTCATGCATTTCCAAGTGTCTGCTTCACACTTAAATATAAGTGAACCACCAACATTTCAAATTAAATATTCCCAAACCTTAATTCATTTTCTCTGGAAAGCCTGATCATCGTCCTAATCTCCTGTTTCTGTTCAGAAGAACAACATCCTCTCATACATTAGGCTTGAAACATCTTAGACTACTTCTACCTCTTGTGCTCCCACATCCAAGTTCTGTTGTTTCCACCTCTGGGATCTTTCTGCAATCCACCCTCTCACCCCA